TAAAGGTTTTAATGTAGTGATTTATTTCCAAAATTAACTAAAATAAGGGCAATTTATAAAATGGTAATCATATATTAATTTAAGTAAAATTCAGTCTTTTATTAATAATAAAAATTTAATTATAATAAAATAATCATGAACACAAATTTACACATTTAAATAATATGAAATGTTAGTATGATAATTATAAGTATAATTAATTTTATTTTACAGTACTTGGGTAAATTAAACCACTAAAAAATTTGAACAAAAGTAAATCAAGCAGATAATTTTCCTATTTTGATTATTAATAACCACGATATTTGCACTTATTTTGAATATGTAATATTATTTAATATTTTCAAATAGTCTTTTGTTGTTAACACTAAAACTATTTTTCAAATAGTGAAACATTGTAACAGTATCATTAAAAATTATAATGAATGATTTAATAACATTAATTAAACTACCTAATGCAGTGATTAAATATTAATTTATTTATTAATTTGTGCATTAAATAAAAGAAATTTATTGTGAGATTGTTACTTGATACACCAAATCTTTTTTTTATTATATTAATATAGGATAAAATTGCAGAATAGGGGCCGTCGGGATTTGGCGTCGAAAAATCTTTTCGGCAAAATGCGAAAAGTAAAGATTTGAGATTGCAAGTGAAGTGAATTGCAATCAGTACATGAAACCCAGGTTACCACATAAATCAATTTATCACCCAACCAGATCCACCAAAAAAGTTGCCATATCCCAACGGCCCCTATTTTGCAATATGGCCTAATACAGATTTACTATAATGCTGAATTGTTGCAGTTTTATTACATATTTTTTGGGTATGGGAATGTATGTAGTGAAGTGCATGGGCTCTAAAATTGTATTTGATCATTAAACATTTCAAGAAATAAACAGTTAATATAAAAAAATATGACCCGAGTTTGCAATGTCAAAAAGTTCCCAAAATTATGAAAGCACAATTAATAATAGCGATTAATGATATTTAAAACATATCAAAACATTATATATAAATTCTATATATAAAGAAATTTGTAATCACCAAAAGTAAGTACGTGAAAGCATAACTATTTATGCATTTTTAATTTAAAATTTATTTCTCTGAACTTTGTCATTATTATTAACCCTTTAATTTTTTTTAATTTATCTAAATTAAGTTTTAAAAATAACAAATATATTTTAGTATTACTAAAAATTATTTGAGTTAAAAGACTTTTTTGTATAAAATGATAGTTTGAAAGTAAAGCTTTTGAATTGAAGCTGTATTATAAATCTTGAAATCTAACATTTACCATATTTATTTTTCTTACTAGTATGTTGTCTAGTTTATATTATCAATAGAACACTTAAAAATACTAAGTAAAATAGTATAATATTATAGATTATAAATTTCATATGGAAATATGTATTTCAGCAATCAATTAAAATCTATAGAAGAAAAAATAAGTTAAAAATTATATAGTTCATAATTAAGATTTTTTCGAAATGTTCACGTATATTTAGAGTATTTTTATTCGTATATAATATTTCTTTTGATTAAAATCTATGATTCTGTATTCCGAAGAAGTCGCCAATCTTGCAACCCGGGATGTTTCGTTAATTTCTTTAGGGTTATAGTAGTTTAATGAAAGGAATTTCCTTTTTATTTGCAGAAATTTTTTTAACTGAACATATTCTTTTTTTAAAATATCTCATAACGGTTTATTGCCCATTGATACATAATATAAACTTTTGTTATGTAGTCACTCATTAAAGTACAAAATAAATTTATTTTTTACCTTATTAACTATTCATATTGATTGTTAATTTTTTTTTCATTTTAAATTTGATAAATTCATTTTAATACTGCTGATACAGTTAAAGTTTTGTTGAAAAAATTTATTTATTGAATGTTACCATTATTTGGAAAAATAATGATTTCTCGAGGAAAATCGTTACTTTTGGGTTTTTGAACGAGTTATTGCTCTTCACACCAGTTGATAAAATATCTGCAATTTATTGAAATTTTGAAATTCACCATTTTTTTGTGTGTCGTTTTTCACTTTTTTAAATTTATCTGATATGGTTGTATAAAGACAGCAATGGATGATAGGTGAGTAGAATAGTGTGCTTTATTATCAGCCTGAAGAATTGGTGAAAGATCCTCTATATTCTTTTAATTTGCAGTGCTTTTGTATGGAAAATGGAAATGTTTTTAATGAGTACAAATGTCCAAAAGGTGTCTCTGATTTGCAATTGATGATCGTTACGATGGAAAGTATGGACGTATCGAATGAAAGGAACAAATATGCCTCGGGAGGTCTGTATGAAAGAGTACTTGATTTGACTAAAGTAATATGTGTATGGGTAGTATTTTAAAGTTGACGTCTTATTGGGCAAATGAAATTTAGAGTAAAAGTATTAGCATGATTTATTGCTTGAGAATGAAACGGTGACTGATTGGTGTGAATTTCATTGAAAAGTGTTCATGGATGAGAGTTTAAATTTTCAAGGTATGTTTGGAGGTGTTGTTAAAACTGTTGAAAAGGAGGAATCAAATTTGGCAAAAAGAACTATAATAAAGGTAAACATGAGTAAGTAAATGGGAATTGGAGGTGTGTTAAGATATTCGGAAGAATACTTTTTTGAAGTGGTTGAAAATGGAAGTGCGAATGTATTGCAGGAAATACTTCAAGCAATATAATAATACAAATGCTGCGGCCTGATGATCGATTGGCTAGCGCACTGGCCTTTGGCAGCTAGCATTCACAATATAAAGAAAAATGTTGAATCGTTATACGAAATTTATGTGATCAATGCCCAATAATGTGATAACCAAACATGATGATTTTTTCAAGATATTATTTTCAGAAGTTAATATTCGCCTATTTTTCATTTTTAGTACTTCTTCAATATGAGAGTACATTAAACAGTCAAGCTATCACATGAATACAAATTTTTAATTGCTGCGTCATTTCATATACAAAAACTAACAGGTTTTTTTTATTTTGAAAAATTACTAATTTATTAAAATGTACAGCATTAAATATTTATAATAACTCCCAATTTTAAGATCAAAATTGAATTTTTTTTTGCAAATAAATTTAAGGGCTTCATTAGAAGTTATTTACTGGAAAAAACTCATTTCTTAAGGAATTCTCTGGACTAAATTTGGTTTTTGTAAGTAAATAGAATGAGTATAAAATTCAAAACTTTTTCAAAGGATTCCTTTAGAGTTGAATTATTTCCAGTAAAAAAAAAAAAAACAATTAAGGATATATTTACATTTACTTATTCAATAAGAATAATATATAACAATGCACGAATATATATTGGGAAATTATGATAGTTTATGGAGATATCTTTAGGGACATATACACTGAAGTGACAAAAGTCATGGGATAGCAATATGCAAATTTTCAGATGGCAGTAGCATCGCGTATAACAGGTATAAATGCGCAGTGCTTTCGCAGAGCTTTCATTTCTGTTCAAGTTATTCATGTGAAGAGGTTTTGACGTGATGATGACAGCACGACGGGAATTAACAGACTTTGAACGCGGAATGTTAGTTGGAGCTAGACGCATGGGTCATGCCATTTCGGAAATCGTTAGGGAATTCAACATTCCCAGATCCAGTGTGCCGAGAGTATGAAATTTCAGGCATAACATCCCACCATGGACAGCGCAGTGGTCGACCGCCTGCACTTAACGACCGATACCGGCGACGTCTGCAAAGAATCGTAGATTCTAACAGACAAGCAACACTGCGTCAAATAACCGCAGAAATCAATGTGGGACGTACAAGGGACTTGTCTGTTAGAACTGTGCGGAGAAATTTGGCTTTCTTGGGCTATTCCAGCAGAAGACCGACTCGAGTGCTTTTACTGACAGAACGACATCGCTTGCAGCGACTCTCGTGGGCACGTGAGCATATCGGTTGGTCCCTACATGAATGGAAAACCGTGGCCTGGTCCGATGAGTCACGATTTTAGTTGGTAAGAGCTGATGGTAGGGTTCGAGTGTGGCGCAGACCCCACGAAGCCATGGACCCAAACTGACAGCAAGGCACTGTTCAAGCTGGTGGTGGCTCCGTAATGGTGTGGGCTGTTTTTTCGTGGCATGGACTTGGTCCTCTGGTGCGACTGGACCGAACATTGACTGGAAATGCTTATGTTCAGCTACTTGGAGATCGCTTGCAGCCATTCATGGACTTCATGTACCCAAACAACGATGGGATTTTTATGGATGACAATGCGCCATGTCACCGTACCACAACTGTTCGCGATTGGTTTGAAGAACATTCTGGACAATTCCAACGAATGATCTGGCCACCTAGATCTCCCGACATGAATCCCATCGAGCATTTATGGGACATCATCGAGAGGTCTGTTCGTGCCCAAAATCCTGCACCATCAACGCTTTCACAATTATGGACGTCTATCGAGACAGCATGGCTCAATATTCCTGCAGAAGACTTCCAACGACTTGTTGAGTCCATGCCACGTCGAGTTGCTGCACTTCGCCGGGCGAAAGGAGGGCCGACACGATATTAAGTGGTATCCCATGACTTTTGTCACTTCAGTGTATGCTATCACATTAATAATGAATTTCATAGATCATGCGTTACGTTATATATGGCGATAGCTTTTACTATTTTGGATGATTTATACTGTTTATTATATATGAAGCATTAATACTTTTATATACTATTTAAGACCCATTATCTTATATTTTGTTTCTCATAAGGAAAGGAATTTACATTGAGAAAAGTTTATAAGTATTTTAATAAGCTCACAGAAAGCAAAAAATGCATATGCATCATTGTTATAATTGAAAATATAGGATATTATTTTAATATGGCTTATCTAACATCTATCTTATATAATATTTTTAGAAACATTTTTAGGTGTAAAAGATATTCCAGTGTCTTTTATAAGTCATATCAATCGATTTTAATACGCATGTCATAGTTTAAATTCGACAAATATCTTAAAATTATATACAAATACATATGGGCAACGGCCGTACCATGCTGAATATACCGGTTCTCGTTAGATCACCGAAGTCGTCAAGCATCATTGGGCGCGGTCAGTACTTGGGTGGGTGACCACCTGGGAACACCGCGTGCCGTTGGCAAATTTGGGACCTGAATGGCCGAGTGTCTAGCGCTCTGGCGCTCGGTGCCACAGGTTTCGGGTTCGAATCCCGGCGGTGCCATGGATGTTTGTAGTGGTTCGGAATCCACTTTAAGCCGTAGGTCCCGGTCTTCTATGACTGTAAGAGCGTCAAGGAGCAAAAAGTCAGGCTTCTACCTACGGGTGCTCCATCACAACAGAAGCTGCTTCCTTCCCCTTCAACCACGAGTACGTATGGGCTCGTGGGCTTGGCCAGCCAAGTGGGATAAGAAACAACAAAACACAAATACATATTCAAATATGCAGAACAGAAATACGTATAAATATATTTTGAAATGTAATGAGTTAGAATTTTTAAACTTTATTTAATTTTCCTAAACTCGGTAATATTATGTTTCCTATATTTCTGATTTCATATTTGTAAATGTAAGAATAAATCCTTAAAAAATTAATCGTATGAAATACTTCAGAACGTTAGAATTTTTATATTTTGGGGAAAGGCTATTTAATTATTTCACGAAATTGTGAACAACGTTTTTTTTTTTCTTTAATTTTCAATAACAAACTATTTATTTTCATTAATGTAAGTGATACGTCACGGATTTAAAAAAATTATGTGTATTTAATAAAATTTTATGTTTTTAATTTTATTTTATCTTAATCTTAATCTTTAATTTTTTAAATTTTATTTGTTTTTGCTGATGTCTTTTTACACAATTTACTGCATTTTAAGTACTTAATTATGTGTCTTTATATTGAAATTAAATACAATAATACATATGAAAACGATCATTGAATTGAGTGCAATAAAATGTGTGAAAATCACCTTTGAAATTAATTGCAATGAAATATCTTGAAATATTTTGAAATCGAATACATATTAAAAGTATCTATTATTAAAAGAGCAATTCATTGCAATTATTTGAAATATTTGTTATTTTCCAATTATAACTAATTGCATTTGCAATACCCCAACAAACCCCAAGAATATTTTAACGCTTCAATTTCAGATAAAAATCTTATGGTAACACTCATATAGAGCTTAAAACAAATTGCAGCCACTTTCTACTAAAAACCTTCATCTAGTCTAGCACATGCCATAACCTGAAACCTCCAACCTCTCTACCCTTTCGTCTGCTGCTTATATTAAAAATTTAGAATATTCTTAAACCTAAAAAACATACCACATGACACATTTCTCAGCTCCTGAGGTACAAACAACCCTTTTCTAGGTGAAGTAACCCCTTCCACCCTTTTGCATATTACAGCTCGGTTAGCTGAGCGACATCTCAACTCCGGGAAAGACCCTACGCTTCCCTCTAATTACATTCGCATCACATCTGAACCTTCCTCTTCTATGTTCCTTTGTGTTTGGACCTTCATTATTCATGCAAAAGGATGGTGGTTGAAGTTCTTGAAGCGCCCCGGGGTGGAATACACCCCCACCACCCCCTGTCTGGATACAGTAATCAAATGGAGGAGGGGCCAAATAATGAGAAGTGACGTCACGGAGAGTTAAAAGGGGGGTAGGGTAGGGTAGATAGGGTACTTTTAAAATGGATTTTGTGCTCCTGCAAATATCGGTGGCTCAACGCTCGAGTAAATAATGGATATTAGAGCATATATCTCCATGCCCTTGTTATCTGAGAGAAGCTATCTCATATCTTTTATATAAAGGGAATTGAAGCGTTGTAACTGGACCAAAAAAAATCACGTAAAATATCTGTAATTACTGGCTTTTTTGAATAGGCTGTCTATCAGACTTTTAAACCTGTCTGTTCGCTAAGGGAATAAGTTTTTGGATGTGCATATCTGAAACTCTGAAATTTTATTCAACTCGAGTTGTTATCAGTGAAACATGTCACATCTTTTGAGTGATTTACAATCGTTTGACTGGTTTGATAGGCAGATTCTTAGAAAATCGTGTAAAAACATTTGCCATTACAGTTTTGACGTGTGGTTCACTGAAATTGAATTTGAATTCCATTAGATGCCCCTGAATTGATAGATTATTTTGAATAAATATTTAGTAAAGTTTAGAATTTATTTCCATTTAAATAGAAATTTATTGCATATCACTTATTTACAATAAGTTAAAATAATGTCACTGGTTTAATAATTCTTTTTTCAGAAAATATTTGATATTGTCAATTATGCAACTGTTCCACCATCATTTAAATGTTTTGTTGATCTTATAATAAATATGTAATAATAAATATATAATAGTAAATCTATAATAATAAATATATGATTATAATAATTTGATAGTTTCTTATCGTATAAAATAGGTTATTTTGTACAATAAAATTGTTAAAGCATAGAAATATGAAGAACTTTCCTTGAAATTGTATAATTTGTAAACTTTTTGTTAACCATCCATAATAAAATTTTCTAAAATTACTGTTAAATTCCAAGTATTAGAGTAGCTTACAGAATTATTTAACATTTCGTTTTTTTACAAATATTTGCATATTCTTTACATCATAACCAGTATCACGGCACATAATTGCAACTTAATAATAATATACTATTATAATAATTACTTATTAATAAATAATTAGGTTATTTTATGCGATAAAATCGTCAGAGCATAGAAATATGATTAATTTTCCTTGAAATTACATAATTTGTAAATTTTTGACGAGTTTGTAAGCCATCCATAATAAAATTTTATAAAATTACTGTTAAATTCCAAGTATTAAGATATGTTACAAAATTATTTAACATTTTGTTTTTTAAAAGACATATCTACTTCTTAAACTATGACCAGTATCACGGTTAAACAGTAAATAACAACAACTTGGAATACCTAATAATAATGTACTATTATAATAATTACTTCTTAAAGTTATTTAATGCATGTTTATATATAAATATGCTTTTAGAATTTCTGTATATTTGTCATAATATAATTTTATTGATGAATTAGATAAAGAATGAATATAGTAGATTTTATACAATGGTATTTATCTTCTACATGTTATTTATCAACAGAAAATTTTGAAAAAACCCCCAACTAAATGATTAGAAAGAAGAGTTATTTAAACTATTAGATGTAATTAAATAAGTTTTTTCCTCAAAAGCTACTTAAATTTATGCTTTTTTATTTATTAGTTCAATACAAAATTTTAAAAATTGATTAGTAAACATTACTTTTCTAACTAATAAATTTCATAGAACAATTATTTAATATAACATTTTTTATGTTAATAAAGCTAGAATCTTCTAAAAGAATTTTAAATGCTGTACATTATATTATTATATTTTAAGAAACATGATGGCATATTAAATTATAACAATTTCTAGATATAATATATATATTATTACTAATATAGAAGTATTTATTATATTTAGAAATGATATAGAGTTCAACGAATCAGATAGGCTACATTAAAAAATGCATAGACCTCAAAAGAGGATAATTCTGGTTTCAAACTCTTTCAGTTATAGGAATAATTCATGACAGCATATTAAATAATAACAAATTCGAGATATACTAAATATTAATACTAACATATAAATATTTATTATGTTTAGAAATGATATAGAGTTTAGTGTATGAGACTAAGTTACAAAATGTATAGCTCTCAAGAGAAGATAAGTTACATTCTTTTCAATTATATGAATAATACAAGAGTATTTATACCAATAAGTATATTTAGTTAGCAATAAATCAACGTGATAAGTGTTTTTGATTATTCAAAATAAATTTTATGATTCTAGGGAATACATTGTGGTATACATCTAGTGGTATACATTTTTAAATAAAAGTATATGATCATGTGATATATTATACTCTCATTGCTGCCAGCTAACAGATTTTTTTAACATAATAATAACTTTGAAAAATGAATTCTTAGAAGTAAAACAATTTAGCAGTCTAAAATTCTTATTAAATACAAAAAAAAATTTAAAATAAGGTAATCCTTTGAACTTCTTTGACAAATTCAAACAACTTTATGTAAGAATTTATAATACAAGACTCTATAAAAAGTATACATATTAATTAATTAATGATGCGATATATGATAACGATTCTTTAAATATTTAATGTTTTATATTTCGGTGAATTATCAGTTTTTATTTTTAATATAAGAATTTGTGTTATATTTTACACCACGTGTTTGAAATAGAAAACATTGCAGAATAGAAATTTCCTTACAATAAACAGGTAACAATAGGCAATAACCTATAATAAAAATGACCTTCGGACAAAACCTATCTTCGGACCTACAAAAGTTAATTTGTACTAAAAATTTTAATGTAAAATAACGAATATTACAATTTTTGAAACAAATCCAATTTGCTTATTAACTCTTCAGTGTTGTAAATTGTCCATTTTTAATTTAATGTATTTTTTCATATCCTACATTGAATTTCTTGTATATCTTACTTCGTTTATCTTTCATTTTCATTTTAACAATGGCACTCTATGATGTAAAACCTTCATTGCAGCAAAAATTTATTTATATTTTATTTGACTTTAAATCAAACCAATAGTTGTCGATTAGACTATCACCACAAATAAATTTTAGTTATTCTAAAATTAATAGTTGTATTTTGAATAATATAATTCAAATACTGATTCGCTAAATATAGCAAGCCAACTCTTTGATGTATATCACCTGCATGAGATATTCCAATGCTTTTATATCATTTTATTGAAGTAAGATTTTGCATTAATTTCCAAAAATAGCTTAAATTATATAATATAATATGATATAATAATATAAATAATTATTGTATTAAATTTAACTTTTATTATATTAATATTAATAAATAAATTACTGTAATATTAAATTTAACATAATATAGATACTACTCTTGCTATATTTGTGAAATTAATCCATTCTAAATTCAAAATCAAAATACAATCAAAAAAATCTTATGATAGAAATATATTAAATTCATTTTATAACTATAATTTATATATTTTTATAGTAAAATAATTATTATATTTTATCATCTATATTAAATTATTTTATCATCTAATCCAT